ATAATCTTTAGAAAAGAAAAGGAAGTTAAGTGAGTTAAGGCTAAAAACAGACAGATGAACAAAACAAATCAGCAGAAAGTTTTGGAGTTATATTTGATCTTCCAGGAAAGATCAACCAAGTATCAGAAGTGACCCAGCCTTGTAGTTGCCAGATTAGAGCGTGGACCCAGGAGGTGAATTGCCTAGTTCTGATCTTGGTTCTGCTACTTAGCACCTCTATGACCCTGAGAAAAATTCCCACATTTTCTGTAAGTCAGTATCTGCATTGGTAAAACGAGGATAATACCAGAACTACTTCTTAGGAATATTATTAGGATTAAATGAATCAATATTTATAAAGAGTTTAAGATAAGTTTAGTATGAAGTAAGTTTCTTAAATATGTTTTTAATAAATGAAAGAGTGATGAAACTTCTCTTTCCCTAAAATAACACGTTTCTTAATTTTGAAAACAGCCAGTAAATGCTTTTCCTGAATTAATACTAGATTTTCCACTCTATGTAAAACAACCACTTATAACTGTTACTTATAGCAATCAGGTTATGTTGAAGAAGATAGGTTAGAAAAGGAGAGTTTGATCTCCTTAGAGCTAAGAACTTTTTTTTTTTCATTTTCTTTGTCTACTAAAAATAATACAATGTTTTAACAGATTTAATCTGTAACTCTTGTTGGCTAAAAGGAGTTTGGAGAAATTCATTTCTTGGCTTAGGGCTTTTAATTTTGGCATGACATCTGTCATTGTAGTCTAAGATCTGGAAGAGGTATTAATTTTCAAATGAATATATCCTATGAGCAGCCATGAGTTGTTTAGTTTGGAGTGTCATGCCCCTCTCTTTTCATCCTGAGGGCTGTTGATTTCATAGCAATCACATTCAACCTCTTTCTCCTGATTGCTTATTGGTTTCCTCCCCCTTTCTGTATATAGGCATGGCTGGACTCCCTTATTTTGAATCAGACAATAAAACTTTTAGTTTCTTTCTGCTACTAGATCTTGTTAATGCTTCCTTTTATTTTCACTGATTAATTTGTCAGATTTGCCTATCTTCCACTTCACTTTCTCAGCCGTGTAATCCCATATCTCCATCTAACTACAAGACTTGATTTAGATTTTAGTTATCACCTGAAACTCTGAAGGTGTAAAAATTTACTCATCAGTCTTTTATTTTATTTTTATTTATTTATTTTTTTTTTGTCTTTTTCCGTGTCCGGCAACGGATCGCAACCCTCAGTGTTGCCCCCGTACCCGACCGGGGACCGGCAACGGGATTGCAACCCTCGGTGTTGCTCCCGCGCCTCGCTCAGCCAGTGAGCGGGAGCCGGTCTGTATGTGGGATCCGAACCCTCGGGCGGGAGCGCCGCCGCGCTTCCCAAGCGGCACACTATCCAGTGCGCCACCAGGCCGGCCCAGTCTTTTATTTTAAATAAGATATGTCACATATGTGAGAAGACAATCATATTTGAGAAAAGACTAGTATTTTGGGCCAGCCCGGTGGCGCACTGGAGAGTGTGCCACTTGGGAGCGCGGCGGCGCTCCCGCCGAGGGTTCGGATCCCATGTGGAGACCAGTTCCCGCTCACTGGCTGAGCGTGGTGTGGGCGCAACACCGAGGGTTGCGATCCCGTTGCCGGTCCCCGGTACGGGCGTGACACCGAGGGTTGCAATCCCGTTACCGGTCAGTAAAAAAGACAAAAAGGAAAAAAAAAAAAAGACTAGTATCTTGAATATAGGAAAAACTTCTATATATCAATAAGAAAAAGAGGGAAATCAATAGAAAAGCCAGGGAAAAACATAAACACACTGAACATTCTTTTTAAAGAAGAGGAAGCATTAATGGACAACACTGAACATTCTTTTTAAAGAAGAGGAAACATTAATGGACAATGAACATGAAACAATGTCCAAACTTATTAGTAAGCAAGGAAATGCAAAGAAAAACCACCAGCAGATGCCATTTCACACTCAACTAACTGGCATAAAAGTGTGACAGTTTAAAGATTGATGAGAATGTGGAGCAATGAACATTCTCATACTTGGCTGGTGGGAGTACATTTTGGAGCAATCACTTTGGGAATAAATTTGTTTTTACCCAATAAGATCAAACATATGCAATCCTGTGACCCCAAAATTCTACTGCTAATTATTTAGCAGGTGGCTTCTAGGAGACTTTCACAAAATTGTTTCAAACAGCAGTGTTCAGAACAGCAACAACACTGGAAACAATCAAAATATACATGAATAATAGAATGGATACATTGATTATGGTATATAAATCCAATTGACTACTATCCACCCGGATAATGAGTGAACTACAACTACATGAATCAGTATGGGCAAATCTTAAACACATGATGTTGAGCAAAAAATGCTAATCACAGGAAATTCATACAGTATGGTTTTCATTCTGATAGATTGTGTAGTCATTCACACATGACTGTTGTGAAAAAACATACAACGGAATGCAAGGGAAAGATTCACTCAGTATTCAAAAAAAGTGATTATCTCCCCAGAGGGGAAGATATACATAGCAAGGAACCAAGGGTGGCTTCAAAGATATTATAACCTTGTACTTATAAAGCTGGGTAGAATAAACATTTTTTTCCCTTATAAAATTGATAGATCCATTACATATAGTTCTACGTGTGATGTATTTTATGATTAGTATATAAAGAATCTGCATGCTCAATAATTATTTCTAGGGTTTTAAGAACGCTCAGTTAAAGGTTCTTCAGTGTCAAGAAGGTTTTTGCAGACACCCTCTATTAGTTTAGAAATTTAAGCATTCCACAGTGGAATAGAAAGTTAAAGTCTCAATGACGTATTGTTGGAATTAGTTAATAAGAGTATTCATTTGAAGGCACATTGAAAAGAACTGGCTTGCTGCCAGTTCAGCATTATTTCTTAATTAGAAAGCTAGCTTGCTCTTCATAGTATTACAAATATTTTACAAATCATGATATTATAGTCCTGGAAAAGCTCAAATGAATAGAATTACATATGAGAGACAGTGAGGTGAAAGTTTATAGGAAGAATGTACGTAGAGGGAAACCACAGACATTCTAGAAACCCAGAACTGCAAGGCTATGGATTTGCGTTCATGTAAGTTGATTTCAGGGTTCTCTTGGAATGACTGGATACTACCAAAAATCAACATTAGGAGAAGGTGGAGAGACCCAGTTACTTTCATAAGTCCATACCTTTTTCCATTTGCTGCATGGACCATGGTATGTGAGAGTGGGCTTTGCAATAAGAAGAAAAGAAAGATTGGTTCTTTTGGCCTTTAATTCTACAAACAACTCTCGTGTTTCCCTTTTGAGTTCTTTTCTGACCCTCCCCCTTTTCACCATCCTCCATGACTTCAGTTTCCACATTTCCTCCTTTCAGTCTGAATTCTCTACAAAGTTAGGCCTTGTATGGTTGTGTGATTGTTCCAGGTACTTGATGTTTGTTTTCCTTACATGAAGCATTTATAAAAGTGATGCTGCTGGAATTTTGTCAGTTCATGCTTACATGCAGAGTTCTGTGGCATTATAGAGAGAGGAGCATTCTTCTCTATTACAGCAGGGCTGCCAAACAGCAAGCTGTTTTTTCTTTCCTTCATCTTTGGTTTTGCACAGTTTGCTGAAACTCCATATAAGGTGCAATTTTAATGCCAAATACAGAAACACAAAGGGCATGTGGCAGTTGGATGATGGGGATTGTTATTGTGTCTTGTTGCTGTTGTAAGAAGTGGAATCCCCATATTAAAACTTGCATTGTATAAATACAAGGGAAAAAACCAGACATAATCCTTTTGAAAATTCCCAAATATTTCTAATATTGGACAAATCTCTTAAACTTTGTTGTTAAATGATTTTATTACATGTGTTAATGTCCTCCAAAAATAGAAATTTCCTTAAATTGTTCTCCCACTTGCCCCAAAATTCTAAAGGAAAGAACTCTGACATATGGTATACTAAATTTACTAGATTATAATTTGTTTGATTTCTCACCTTTTTATCAGTTCATGAAGTTGGTAAATATTGTTGTTTAGAAAGACATTATTTGAGATGCTTCAAGAAATCATAGAGATGTAAAATACTCTGCCACCAAAGGAAGTAGGAAAGCAATGTTACCATGTCACTATTCATATTTGCTAAGGTGCAAATCCCTTTGTTAGAAATAGGCAGAACTATTCCAGAAACATTGTTTGGACCCAACCAGAGAGTCTCACTGTTTAACTTTCTTTCTATTTTTTTTTCCCAATCTTTTTTTGAAAATTTGTTTGTTATTAGAGAATGATGTCTTAAACACAAAACAGTAATATTAGTCAAACATTTAGTGTCTTTTCATGATTAATACCTTCTGATTAATGAAAATGTTATATACCTACTTAAGGTTCTTTTTTTTTTCACTGTTTTTCTTCAAATTCTTGTGCAATCAAAAACTTTGAAACCATAAAATTGAGTCAATTGGAAAGTAAAATATGTGTATCCCAGTTTAATGGATCCTGTTTTAAATATTGAATCAATTATTCAGTAATACACCAAATATTTCACATTTAATATTTTTTTCTTTTTAATTTTGGAGCATGTAGGTGGAGCAGTTGAAGGCAATTTCTGCTTCTGTAGGACTTTAATAAATGTCATAGAATTGTTTTAGCCCAGTGTTATAGAGAACAGTAGGAGATAGGGAAGCCGGTTAAGAAGCATTCAGAAGTGGTACCTAGGAACAATGGCCATTGCAGAGTGTGTCAGAGTAATAGTCTAATACACGTGCATGCACACGTATGTACAACTATAATTTTTTTAAATGCAGTATTGACTTCTAACGATCACTCATCTAGAATTTAACTTAAGCTCCTTTTTGAGCTTCCAGCTCACAGAAAATCACTAGGATTGCATATCATTTGGGTTGCAGATTATTTAATTATTTTGATCAATTCTTACTCGGTTTATTGATGATTTATATGTTTTGTGTTCCTTCTTTTTCTCACTTTATGGTCTCCCCACAACTGAAAATGAAGATTGTTGTGTCCACTGTATCCTGGCATGCTTGTTCTGTGAATTCCTGACTCTCTGCAATATTGTGCTGGGACAAGCTTCATGTGGCATCTGCACTTCAGAAGCCTGCTGCTGTTGCTGTGGAGATGACATGGGGGAGGACTGTAACTGCCCTTGTGACATGGACTGTGGCATCATGGATGCCTGTTGTGAATCATCAGACTGTTTGGAAATCTGTATGGAATGCTGTGGAATTTGTTTTCCTTCATAAATATTTATCTTCTGTTTGTGTTAAAACTGGAGAGTGTTTCAAAATTTTTCTTTTAGGGGGGAGAAAAGCACATGGTTAAGATTCTCATGAAGCAATGTAGTATTTGCACTGTTAACTCATTATTTTAAGTAATCTCTGACAGCCTTTTTTCTCTAACCAAATCTACATGGTTTAATATGTGAAATTTTAGCTACTTTAACTAGTTTTTTAAACCTAATAGATTACAATAAATGAGGAACATTTTGATGCCCAGCCCCCAAAATGTTAAATGTCTCCTCTTTTTATCTATATTTCTTTTTTTTTTTCTTTTTGTCTTTTTTTTGTGACCGGCAACGGATCGCAACCCTCAGTGTCGCGCCCGTACCGGACCGGGACCGGCAACGGGATCGCAACCCTCGGTGCTGCGCCCGCACCTCGCTCAGCCAGTGAGCGCCCAGTCTGTTTGTGGGATCCGAACCCTCGGCGGGAGCGCCGCCGCGCTCCCAAGCGGCGCACTGTAGCAGTGCGCCACCAGGCCGGCCCTTTTTATCTATATTTCTGTTTCTTCTAACCATTCTCAGGAGCCTCTTGCTCCAAATATATTATTTCTCAGTGGGTATTTAAACCAGACAACTCATTTTTGATGTTTATCTACTAGTGGTTAAAAGCAAGCATTCTTTATTTTAAAGTAAATTTTGGGGAACGAACCCACACCATAGTTGGGTACCCAGTGTTTATGCATACTTTCTCCTCCACCTTCCCCACTTGTTCAGCAGACAAGTGCCTACTGTGTACATTCTCTTGCCCAGACCGCGGAAATGGTTATCATTCCGCTGCCATCCACAAAAATGTGCAGTTTAGCAGAGGAAAGGCCTGTAAAAATGAATCCTACCACAAGGCATACTGAAGTGAGGATTATACAAAAGATAAAATCAAAAGGCCATAGGAATACAAAGAAAAGAGCTACCAGAATATTCAGGAAGGCTTCAAGGGGGATGGGGCATTTAAGAAGGCCTGTTAAGATGACCAATTCATCTGCTGCTTGAATGGGTATTTAGATTAAAGACAAAATTTTAAGTGGACAATCTGAACTGCACATTTTCTTTGCCAGTTAAAAGAAAAGTGCCTTCAGCACCCTTATTTTTAGTTATAGGAATATAGCTTTAAAAAAAAAAAACTATAAAATTTAAATTAACTAAAAATATGCATTTTCTTTTATGTAATTTAAATGTTATGATAAAGTTTTTGATGAAACATGATGCCTTATTAAAATAGTTGTGTTTTATAAGGAATATGGAATACTTTTGAGAAATTGCATTTAAATTAGGAGGTTTTTTATATTAAATTCCCAGTATTCTGATTTTGATTCATTCAAAGGCTTTATTTTGAGAGCTTTAACTCTCTTGTTTGGGGGAGATGGTTTTGGTTTGTTTCGTAACCAATGTTATCTTATGACACAGTTAAACTATTCTTTCCAGTGCAGTGGGTATCTAGACATCTAATACTGTGACTAAATTTCATTATTGCAACTTTATGTTAAATTAAACTAATATGGCAGGTTATAAAGATTCTTAAGTGTAAAGAAACAAGTCACTTACAAGGCTAATTATATAGTTATTGCGACATAGAGACTTTGTGGAGCTAAGATAAAAGGGAGAGTAAATTTTCATACTGTGTGCTCTCCTGAGTTTGATCTCTCCAAAATTGTGGTTTGTTTTGATTTAATGTAGTGAGCATTGTAGAACCTTGAAAGTATACATTGGGATGAATAGTTATTGTCAGTTCTTCTGGCTGAATATCAAATTGATAGTAACAACAAAAGCATATTTTTCGGAAGCCTTTAGCAAACCTACCCTTCTAGGACAGGTTTTTAAACTGAAGCATGGGAATGTCACCTATGGTTTTTCCTTTGAGATGAAAACTAGTTTCTAGTTATACCATTGTTTAAAGAGTTAAAAATGAAAAACAGTGAACAAACTCTTGAATCCCCCTTTCAGTTCTGTTTACATACACACACACACCCCCTTTAAATTGTTGGGTTTAAATAGAATTCTAGTAAACAGCTATCTTCCTCTTACTCCTCTAAAGAGTGTTTTTCATTTTTACATAAAATGTAAGGAAATCTTTGTACTATTTCACAGTAACCAGAATCTGAATATTTACATAAACCCAAAGTGAACTTATTCTTATATATTAGGATATAAGAATGCCATCTGTTTATAGCCATATAAAGCCTCCTAATGACCTGGAATTGTTAGAATATTTGGCATTTTATCCCGCAAAAATTTTTAACCAAGTGATTTGTCTAATATTTAAAGATATCCTGCACTATTTGCAATGAAAATATTAGCACATATGAAATAATGTTTCTCTGTAACAGAGAACATAAATGGATACCAGAATTTTATTTTCCTATTTATATTCGTTGTACTTTTCCTCTGTGGTCTGCTCCAGGCAATCATTCCATAAAGCATCTTGTATAGTTAAAAAAAAAAGTAGGCAAATGTGAAAATAGTTTCAATATATTTTAGAATTTCTGTATGTAAAATGTTTCGTTGGATTATATGGCCAACATGACGAAGTGTTATAATTTACAGTTATAGATTTGTTCTCTTTTTAAATGTGGAAACTTAATCTTAACGATTTGAAAACTGGACTTGTACTATCCTGAATACACTATTTTGAAATAAAAAAAAAGACTTCATTGTGCTTTAGCATACTTTTATACATATCTAATTAATATATTAATTGATTTATATTCAAATGAATTCAATTATAATTTAAAACCTGAGGTTTTTCTTTATCCTGTTATATCTCTTCCTGAAGATTTTCTAGTCTCCTTATGTAAATGCATGATTCATGCCCATAAAAGAACTAAGAAAATACAGATGAATTTATAGTGTAAATTATAATTGATGTATGATTTCAAAACAAAGATTTCTTTTTAAAATTTACAGTATGTCAAAATATAAGTTCAGTACATTTTTCTTCAGTAGATTTATTTCATTTATTAGTTGGAATTATATCTCAACTTACAAAAACTAAGAATATTTTTATATGTGCAGAATTGAACATCAAGTCAAAAATACTCAAAGATCTATGAAATTGAGTATTAAGTTTAATGAATTTCACACAAAAGTAAGTCATCAGAAGTATTTCCACTTAGGGTTTTTAGTGGCACAATTTTTGTAAATCTTTTTCAGTTACTGTTTAAAATAATACAGTATGACTTTATTTAGGAAAAGTCTTTTTATTTAGAAAAATAATAATTTTATTTTTGTATTCTTACAGTCTATCAACTGTATCCATTTTCCTCACCTGAATATTCAGTGTTATCTGAGCAGTTCAAGGAGTAACCAAGGCAACTTTATGTAATAACTTTCTGTTCTTTATCCATACAAACTCTATCAGTGTCCTAGATTCTGATGTTATAACCATCAAAATCACTGCCTAACATAAATAAGATGAATCAGAGACTCTGTGGCTTGCCTTCTTAAAAGCCAGCTAAAATGCTTAGATTTACCCAACTGCCTAATGAATGAGTTTATTTATTAATAAGATTATTTTTCAAATTATTCAAGACCTTTATGCCCCTTCCAATTACCTATGACTTGTAGGCCTGTAGGAATGCTGCATCTAATCTGGCAGACAAGATAAAATTTCATCAAATACTATAATACCAATTTTTTGATGGATTACATGAATAATATAGAGCATACCATTTTTGTTTTTACAATGGTTAATATATTGGTAGGGTTTATTCCACACTTACTATTTATATGTTTAATCAAGGATTGGGTATTGCAAGGGAATCCTTTCAACCCTTCATCTCCATGCACCCTATAACCAATAAATGTATAGTGGATGCTTTCTCTGTGTTTGAACTGGTACTAGGTACCTCAAGGAAGTCACGTAACCCTTAGGAAGTTAAAACTCAGGGAAGAAGTTTGACTCCTCTCATGAGAAAAATGTTAGTTCCGACAGTGAGGCTACCAGTATTTACTTACCTATTTAAGATTACTTTTAGAGGCTTTGGTTAAAATGGAAGGGGTCGTGGAGAGGGGATAACACTGTGATGCAGCCCTAATGTGGAGGGTGGATTTTGCCAGTACTATCACTGGGAATGAAATCCACCATCTATTTTCACATTGCAGAGTTCCCAGTGACCATTGACTTCTCTTTACATTAAGAGACTGTGACCAAAATGTGGTATGATCAAATTTAATGAAGTCAGTAGGCAATCTGGAGGTGAAAAGGATTATAAACAAAGCCACGGCCAAGTCCCACCTGAGAAGCAGGGTATCTAGGCAAGCAGAAATATGCACCACCCCATTCTTCATCAAGCTGGGGCAATAGCATGACATTTTTCACTAGGGCAACAACTATAGCTCTTAAACAGCCAGAGGCAACCTGAGTAGTTTCCTGCCTTCCAACTGAACTGTGGATAGTAGTTCTAGTTCCATTGTTTGTTCATTATTTATGCCCTCGATCCCTCCCTTTATTCCATTTAGTGCTCGGTAAATGAGAATCATTAATTTAGTTGGGAGGTGACTGTGAAAAATCATTTTAAATAACTATACTTTGGTATGTTACCAACATGGGGTATAGATATATGTGTTAAAGACAAAATGTAGCTCTGCAATTAGGTGTTCACTTTCAGGCAGGTCTTTGTGTGAGACTTAGTTGAGAATGTAATTATTAAGAAAACGGTGAAAAGCAAATTCAAACAAATTCTTTCTAAGTTTAGCTTGAAAAATCGAAAAGGTTCTTAAGTTCTGTCTGATGCATAAAGCGACAGAAGCAAAGGAATTACGTTCCAAAGCCAAGAAAGAGGGTGTACAAAAGCAGCTGATCCACTTGACATAGTTCATAGCCTTTTGCAAAGGAATAAAAGCCTGTTGAGCAGGGAACCAAAAGATCTCATTATAGGATGAAGCCAAGCCATATTAAAGCTTGTGCACTAGTAACTATGTCTAAAAACAGCCTGCTGTTTTATATTGAACCAATACATTTCTTAACTTGGTAGGTTGCAGTGTAAAGCTGTACAGAGCCTGTCTGCTGGATGCTATGCCAATTACAGATGTGGTGGAGTGGTGTCAAGCACCTACAAATAGTTAGTATGGCAAGCAATCTTAGAGTGAAACAAAAGAAATTTTACACTGTCACCTTAAAACCTAGAAAGCACAGTTTGTCATGTGTGTCTGACTTTTAGACTCTTGAAATCACCTTTATTATATAATTTAACATGGACATCATATGATCCCTCGATCAGAATG